ATATGTCTTTTTCACAATATGAGACTGCCCAAAATAAATAAATTATTCAACCACAACAACAATCACAACGATTACCTAGCTCAAAACTAAGTTTGAGCTTATGCTATGGCAACTAGGCTAATGGATAGTAATTATATACAATTATAAACATCCATGACTGAAGTACAAATGCTCATGTTCATCACACAAACATTTGCCACTTGCGGGTTTCGAACCCGCAACTGATGGTTCATAGTCCGAGCAGACCACTTGACTAAGGCAGTCATCTAAAAATTAAAATATACATAGCACACCTGTCTTGGAGCAACCCTGTTCTCAATAAGGGTATACATCAACTGATGCAAGTCCGTAGGGTTATCTCTCAATATTCTGTCACTTTGCCTTTGCAGAATAGAGCACCCACATAAAACGCATACACTAGCATGGCCTCGGTGACTTGGTCCAGGTTGTTGGTCATCAATGCCAGATATTTCTTGTAAGCTATGATTTACACTTATCATTGCAAGATCTCTACATGCTTCACAGACATAGTCATCTTCGGTAATCTGAAAAATAAAAGTACTTATTATTAGGATTGTGTCATCCGTACATAGATCTATGTTAAAAATCGATTGTAATCTATAGTGTTTGGTAATGCCAACAGATGAGAGGTTAAATGTTGAGTTAAGATGTTATTCAATTCAAATAAAATTATGTATAATGGGTGCAAATACTATTTCTACAACAATTAACTAATAATTACTAATTAATGTGATCATTAAAGAATCAGTTGGACATACTTGTAATAGATTTATTATTTGGATAAATACGAATAGATATGGTTACTTAGAATAAATAAACACTTACGATTTGTGGATACACCCAGCTACAGAGTAACGTGGTAACTCTTATGTTAAGTTCCAAAGCACGGTATCGACGCAGTGTATTAACGCATATGTTGCAGTTGATACACATAATGCGAGTAACTCTGTCACGATCGCTCATCGTGTCTGAATTAAGAATTACTGTGACAACTAGACCAAAATCTTAGGGCACAAATCGGAGTCCAGATGAGAATAGCACAATGTCGTCGGGTGTAGCAGAATCGAAGTCCTTTGGGCACGCAATATAATATTCACACAATAGAAAATCAATATCAGATAAGTCCAGGGGCAGTCCAGGTCGAATAAAAATAAGGAAATCAAAAGGCAGAACCAAAAACACAAAACACAGACAGCACAAACGGCGCGAAAGCAGTGTGTGTAAGACGTAACGAAAATGTCATTACGACATTGTCATATTGTGTTGCTATAGCATTTATATTGTTTCTTACTAAACAATCTGAATTCCAGAAGTATATAATAAAATACTACATATTTTTTAAATATTCTTATGTAACTTTTGTTCCAATGATATAAAACGCAATAATGATAATATTATTTTATCTTAAACCAGATGCAACAAGATGAATTGAAAATGATTTTTAACTACGACACTGAAGTAATTATAAACTGGTCACACTAAGTGACGGAAAGGATATCCATTTGATTTCAATCAATTATGTTTCCAAAAAGGAAGTGATTTTTATTCTGGCTTTTACTAGTTTTGATGTTTAGTTGACAAAATGCAATAATTTTTTTTATTACGTCTTTTAAAAATAATATCTCAAGACGCTTCAAAATATTTGACATATTATTTCGCCATTGTTCTTTACGTTATTAACGATAATATAAATCTTAATTACGACGGTATTATTGGTACAGATTTTCTTAAATATTTTAATGCTAATATAGATTATAGCTCTAAGATAATGACTCTGTGTGGTTACCAAGTTCCCATTATATTTCATCAGCCAACATACATCGTTCCGGCACGCTCAGAAGCCGTCATTGAATGCGCTATATCAAATTACTCGGTCGAGCTTTATCACAATAATGAAGGCTTAGTTCTAGATCATACCTTAAGCGAGGGTATTTACGTCGCGAATTGTATTGTGTCAATAAAACCAAACAAAAAAGTTAACATCACCGTTTTAAACACGACTGACACAGACTTAGAAATTAAAGAATATTTCGTAGAATTGACACCGATCGATTATAATAATTCTATTTCCTGCGAAAATCCTATACCTAGTAAATGTTTGTATTCTATTTCTACTTCTAAATCTAATCGAATAGATCGAGTATTAAGTCTTTTACGCTGCTCCCATCTCAACGATGAAGAAAAGAAAGCACTTTTAAATTGCTGTTCCGATTATACGGATATCTTTCACCTCGAAGGTGAACCACTTTCGTTTACGAATGGCATCCAACATTCCATAGATACGGGTAACGCGGCCCCAGTTCACGTAAAATCATATCGCTTCCCTGAGTGTCATAAGGAAGAAGTCGATACACAAATTCGCAAAATGCTAAATCAAAACATAATTCGTCCCTCTGTTTCGCCTTGGAGCGCCCCTGTATGGGTAGTCCCGAAAAAATTAGACGCTTCTGGCAAAAGAAAGTGGAGAATAGTCATTGACTATCGCCGTCTTAATGATATCACAGTTTCCGAAAGTTATCCCCTGCCTCTTATCACTGATATCCTAGACCAATTAGGCCATTCCAAGTATTTCACAACCCTTGATCTTGCTAGCGGTTTCCACCAAATAAAGATGGATCCTAAAGATGCCCCAAAAACGGGATTTACTATAAGTACTAATTCGAGCATGTCTGGTCACTACGAATTCACTAGAATGCCCTTTGGTTTAAAAAACGCTCCTTCTACCTTCCAGCGCCTGATGAATACTGTCTTATCAGGTTTGCAAGGTCTACACTGCTATGTTTATCTAGATGATTGCATAATTTATAGTCATAATTTAAATGAACATATGGAAAAATTAAAACTAGTATTCAATAAGCTGCGCGAATACAATCTAAAATTGCAACCAGATAAGTGCGAGTTTTTAAGACGTGAAGTAACTTATCTTGGTCATATTATCACCGATAAGGGTGTCTCTCCTAATCCAGAAAAAGTAAAAGCAGTGTCACAATTTCCAATTCCTAAGAGCCCTAAAGAAATTAAATCCTTCCTAGGACTAATAGGCTATTATCGCCGATTTATTGACAATTTTTCTAAATTGACAAAACCACTTACTTCTTTATTAAAAAGGGATACTACTTTCCACTGGTCTCAAGAACAACAAATTGCTTTCGATGTTTTAAAAGAAAAATTAATCACTGCTCCGCTGCTCCAATATCCAGACTTCTCTCAACCGTTCATAGTAACTACAGATGCAAGTAATTATGCCGTAGGTGCAATCTTATCCCAAGGTCCTGTAGGCAAAGATAAACCGATCGCTTATGCATCACGTACTCTAAACCGTCCCGAAGGCAATTATTCAACTACCGAAAAGGAACTTCTAGCCATTCTATTCGCAGTCAAAACGTTTCGTCCTTACCTCTACGGTAATAAATTCAAAATAGTTACCGATCATAGACCATTGGTATGGCTATTCAATGTCAAAGACCCAGGTAGTAGACTCATTCGTTGGCGCTTAAAACTCGAAGAATACGATTACGAAATTGTTTATAAACAAGGCCGTCTTAATTCTAACGCCGATGCGTTATCTCGCTGTCCCGTTAATGTTATAGATATGAACACTTTAAATAATTCTAGTTATGAAAAATATTTTAAAGACCAATTTACAAATAAAACTCCTATTTCAAATACAATAATCTTAGAATGTACTCAAGGATTACACCTATCCAAACTAAAAACTATTGCGTGTCCCGTCTCCTTAGATTTTGACTCGTCTATACCTCACTGTGAAGAAATATTAGCACAATTAGACAAGCCTGAGGACTTATTAAATTCCGAACGCGAACCATTTACAATTCAATGCGTAAAGGATAAGAATAAATCTTACTATTTTATGTACACTAAAACTCATCATTATGAAGAAACCAAATTTAAAGATATTTACAATTTAATTATAAAACTCAGAGATAAAATTTTAATCGAGAACCCTGATATTACAGATCTCGCCTTATCAGACTTTTCAGATCCATTTTCTAAGCTAGCTTATATTAAAGTATATAATATGATTGCCTATATTTTTCATAACACTAACATTAAAGTTCATATATACAAAAATCAATTAATTTATCCTACTCCCGTCGAAATCCCTAAAATTTTAAAAGAGAACGATTCACCTATTGCGGGTCACCCAGGTTCAAGTCGTATGTATAGACGAATTAAAGCCGCCTATTATTGGAAAAGTATGCGCTCTGACATTGTAGATTATGTAAAGAAATGCCAATTATGCCAAATTAATAAACCATTAAGAATGTCTAATAAAGCCCCAATGGAAATAACTTCTACTTCCACTAGACCGTTTGAACGATTAGCTCTCGACATCGTTGGTCCTTTACCTGACGCAGGTTTTCAAAAATTCAAATTCATCCTTACATTACAAGATGATTTAACTAAATTTTCAAGTGCTTATCCCCTGGTCACAGCTACCAGGGAAGAAATAGCCAGAAATCTTGTACATTTTATGTCTCTCTTCGGTTTCCCTAAAACAATCTTAACGGATTTAGGTACTTGTTTTACGTCTGATTTATTTAAAGAATTAACTCAAATCTTAAAAGTCAAGGCTTTATTTACTACTCCTTACCACCCACAAACAAATGGAGCTCTAGAACGCTCACATGCTACTTTAAAAGAATACTTAAAATCCTTCGTTAATGAAAACCAGAACGACTGGCATTGTTATTTATTTACCGCAATATTAGCTTATAATACTACCCCTCATTGCACTACCAATTTCACCCCTCATGAATTATTATATGGTTATAAACCTAATATCCCTAATTCTCTATATGAAACGAACAATAATACTACTTATAATGAATATATTCGAGCTTTACAATATCGAATGCGTTTTAGTAGAGAAAAGGCCATTCAAAATATAATTAATAGCAAAGAAAAATCCAAACAATATTACGATGTAAGTTCACGCGAAATTTCGTATAAAATTGGTGACTTAGTTTATATAAAACACCATCACCGACTTCGTAAGGCCCTATCACCTATATGGAAAGGTCCATATAAAATTATAAAAGTCCATAATAAGCACAACGTTACTTTACAAGTAGGTGGTAGAGCCCCGCAGCAGTTTTTTGCTGTTGCACGTATGGGCAGGCTCGAGCCGGGTTGGTACCACGACCTCACAGAATACCGGCGTGAAGTAGAGGCTCTGCTTCTGCGTTTCGTCTGGTGAGTGCAGGTGGCCGGAGGCCCAATTCCCCCCCCCCCCATCAACATGGTAGCGGAATTACAAAGTAGACTACCCCAGGAGGGTACCAGTACCCCTGGAGAATCCCTCGCTGAGCATCCACGACCATGTTATTCCAATCCTGAGCGTGGGTGCTCAGGCTGCCCCGCGTATTCTGGGGGGGGCAAAATTCCGCTCAAAAACAAAACTGCTTGGGGCAAACTGAGCAACAATACCAAGGCGACCCCTGCCACGCTATCCGTGAATTTCTGCAACATCAGGGGACTTCACTCTAACCTAAACGCCGTCCACTACCATCTCGAGACGGCGAAGCCGGCCTTGCTCTTTCTGACCGAGACGCAGGTTTCCTCTCCGGCTGATATTTCGTATCTCTCCTGCCCGGGGTACAAATTGGAGCACTCCTTTGTGCCTCGGGCTGGAGTTTGCGTGTATGTCAGAGAGGACATCTGTTCTCGACGCCTCGGCAGTCTTGAAGGTTCGGACCTGTCCATCCTTTGGCTACGCGTAGACAGCGACGACCATCCGCGCGTCTACGGGTGCCTCTATAGGTCCCATAGCGGTAATGCCGAAACAGACCGACTCATCGACCACGTCCAAATGGCTACAGATTCCTTGCTACAACAGGTCCCATCCGCAGAGATCGTGATCCTTGGCGATTTTAACGCCCACCATGCCGAATGGCTCGGTTCACGTTTAACCGATCATGCGGGGAGATCTGTTTATGACTTTGCTTTGGCATATGGTCTGACACAACTGGTTACTTCGCCTACGCGGATTCCAGATGTGGAGGATCATACACCTTCCCTGTTGGACCTTCTGCTGACCTCTCATCCGGACGGATATCAGGTTTCCGTCGATGCCCCTCTCGGCTCTTCGGACCATTGTCTGATCCGGAGTATGGTGCCACTCACGCTCCCTTCGCGGTTGCGTTCTGCAGGTTGCCGCCGTGTTTGGCATTACAGGTCGGCGGATTGGGACGGAATGCGGTCTTTCTTTGCATCCTACCCATGGGGGCGGGTTTGCTTCTCGCCGGATGATCCCAGCGCTGTTGCTGACTCTGTCACTGATGTGGTGCTACAGGGAATGGAACTATTTATTCCATCATCTGTGGTACCCATCGGAGGCAGATCTCAGCCTTGGTTTGGTCGCTCCTGTAAGACTGCATTGCGCAGAAAGCAGGAGTGTTATCAAGCCTGGGCTGCGGCTTCGGTGACTCGGGATGTAAACACCAGCACACTTAAAAAGAAGTATAACTTCGCCTCCAGGTCCTTCAAAAGAGTTATTGCCAAGGCAAAGTCAGAGCACATAGGCAGAATTGGCGAGAAACTAGTTCGCCTTCCTTCGGGAACCCGTGCATTCTGGTCTCTCGCCAAGGCTGTCCAAGGGAATTTCTGTAAGCCATCACTACCATCTCTGCACAGGGAGGACGACTCACTGGCCCACGACGCAAAAGAGAAGGCCGACCTTTTAGGCTCCCTTTTTGCGTCCAACTCGACTGTTGATGACGGGGGGAACACACCGCCGACCATCCCGCGGTGTGAGTGCTCTATGCCGGATGTGCTATTCTCACAGCGCTCGGTTCGCAGAGCACTCCTCTCCCTTGACATCCACAAGTCGAGTGGGCCTGACGGAATCCCCCCAATTGTGCTGAGGACGTGTGCTCCGGAGTTGGCACCGGTTCTAACGCGTCTTTTCCGGTACTCCTACTCCCATGGCGTTGTCCCAAACTCATGGAAGACAGCTTTTGTCCACCCGATCCCTAAAAAAGGCGACCGCTCAGACCCGTCCAACTATAGGCCTATCGCGATCACCTCCTTGTTCTCCAAAATAATGGAATTCATTATTAACTGCCAGCTCATCCGGTACCTTGAGGATCACCAGCTGATCAGTGACCGCCAATACGGTTTTCGTCGGGGTCGATCAGCTGGTGATCTTCTAGTCTACCTGACCCATAGATGGGCGGAGGCAGTAGAGTCCAAGGGGGAGGCGTTGGCCGTTAGTCTGGACATTGCGAAGGCCTTCGATCGGGTTTGGCACAAAGCGCTTCTTTCGAAGCTCCCTTCCTATGGGCTTCCCGAGAAATTGTGCAATTGGATCACCAGCTTCCTTGCAGATCGGAGCATCAAGGTCGTTGTAGACGGTGCATGTTCTGACTACAAGCCTATTAACGCTGGTGTTCCACAAGGCTGTGTGCTATCACCAACGCTGTTTCTTCTGCATATCAATGATATGTTGCTAACTGGTAACATTCATTGCTATGCGGATGACAGCACTGGTGATGCTCTATACACCGGCCGGGCCAATATTTCTCGGGAAAACGTCGCCGAGTACCGGAACAAACTTGTGTCTGAAGTCGAGTCTTTGCTGGACAAAGTCTCGGATTGGGGGCGACTAAATCTAGTCCAGTTTAATCCTCAGAAGACACAAGTTTGCGCGTTTACCGCTAAAAAGAACCCCTTTGTCGTATCTCCTCAGTTTCTAGGCACTCCCCTTCTTGCCTCAGCCAGTATCGGTATCCTCGGAGTCGACATATCGAGTGACGTGCAGTTTCGTGGTCACTTGGAAGAGAAGGCCAAATTGGCCTCTAAAAAGCTTGGCGTGCTCAGCAGAGCGGGACAGTATTTCATGCCGGCACACCGCCTGCAACTTTACAAGGCGCAGGTTCGGCCTCACATGGAATACTGTTCCCATCTCTGGGCAGGGGCTCCCCAGTGCCAGCTCCTTCCACTTGACCGCATCCAGCGCAGAGCGGCTCGAATCGTCGACGACCGAGCCCTTTCCGATCGGCTCGATTCATTGGCACTGCGAAGAGATGTTGCATCTCTTTGCATTTTCTTTCGCATCTACCATGGGGAGTGCTCTGAGGAATTGTTCGGATTAATCCCAGCCGCCAAATTTCATGAACGCACATCGCGGCAGAACTCCCGATACCATCCACACCATCTGGATGATTGGCGGTCCACCACTGTGCGATTTAGAAGATGTTTTCTTCCTCGCACGACTTCCTTGTGGAATCGATTACCATCAGCGATTTTTCCGGACCGATACGACTTAGGGACCTTCAAGAAAAGAGCCTACTCCTTTTTAAAAGGCCGGCAACGCATCTGCAATTCCCCTGGTGTTGCGGTTGTTCATGGGCGGCGGTAGTCACTTACCATCAGGTGAGCCGCATGCTCGTTTGCCCCCTCTCCTATAAAAAAAAAAAAAAAAAAAAAGGTCGTAAACATGTTAAGTATCATATAAACGAGATTAAGCCTGCTATTAACACTCCATAAATTTAACTTATTTTATATATTTTTCAGAGCTTTATGCTATGGAAGCCAAAGCCACGCTGAGTCGAGGATCATACCTATATCACATAGTCCTGGAATTTATTTTGAACCTATTACGCATATTAACTTTTATAACGATTATTGGAAGGTTATAACACATATAGACCTTATACCTTTAGCTCCTTATCTCAATAAAATTGAAAATTTATTATATGATACCTTAAACCTTTGTTCCAAAATAAATACTGACGAATTTTCCCAATGTAAAGATTTTTCAAATCCTATAGAGATTTTAATAAAATATAATTACGTCAAATTGCAATCCCTAGCACATATAATCGATAACAATCAATCGCCAAATAGAGTTAAAAGATCTCTAGAATTTGGAGGCGAAATTCTTAAATTTTTCTTCGGTACTCTAGACGCAGATGATGCGCGAAAATATGATGCCGCGATAGAATTATGTCGGAAAAGTGAAACAGAACTATTTAATTTATTCAGAGACAATATTCACATGATTAAATCTACCATAAATAATTTTAATGCCACTATTTATAAATTAAACCAAAATGAATTAAGATTAAACTCACAAATTAATAAAATGAATGAAATTCTTTCGCAAATCACAAAAACCGATAATTTACTTATTAACATTTCTAGAATAAATAATTTATTGAACATAATTGAAAGCTCCTTACTTGCTATTTCTAACTTGCTAGACACGACTATAAATGCTATCCTATTTTCCAAAGTAAATGTTTTGCATCCTAGCGTGATTAGCCCTTTAAGTCTTTATAATGAATTAACCAGGCATATCAATCAAATAAATAAACGTTTAGATTTTCCAGTGCAATTGAACATACATAATATTCATTCGTTAATTGATGTTTCGAAACTTAGTTCATATTATTATAACAATAAGATTGTTTTCAGCTTGCAGATTCCATTAATAACACCTGATAAATTCATTGTTTATAAAAATATCCCATTACCGACTCCTCACGACGAGTCGCATATACAAACGTTTGCACTTATTCAACCTTCTAATTCTTATATTGCTTTAAGTGACGATAGAATACATTATACTATGTTTAATAACTTAGATGATTGTAAATTTATTAATAATAACTATTCTATTTGTGAACTATTTACTATAACGTCTAGCATAAATAATCCTAATTGTGAATCGAAATTATTAACAGAAGTAACTCTTTCCTTATCTTCTGAATGTAACTCCAAGTTATTATTTGGCCAAATCAATATTTGGCATAAATTAAAAAATAATAGATGGATATATGTACAATCCAATGTAAATAAATTAACTATCAAATGTAACGATGATATTACTGATCATTCTATTATTGGCACAGGTATTGTCAAATTAACCGAAAATTGTATCGGTTATTCCAAAACTATTCAATTATTGCCAACAAGTACTTATCAATTTTCGATTAAGTCAACTATAGATATAAGCTTTGACATAACAAGAGATGATTGTTGCAAAAAAAGATGTATTTAATAAAAGTTTACCATATTTAACGCCAATCTCTCTAAGCAAAGTTAACTTGGATTCCTTAAAATATGCAAATCATCAGCTAGATAGTTTAGAATTTGAATTAAATAATCTTCAAAAGGAATCACATTTTATAAAATACGGTTCATACTATTCCACATTTACTTATATTTTAATTGTATTACTATTTTTGTACTTAGCCTACAAATTATTTAAATGTTCCAGAAATCGACACAATAATAGTGGACATTGTATACAAATATTTAATCAGTGTAATAATAAAAAGTCGTCGAAACATAATTCTAAAATTACAAATTCAATTGAGATGATTGATATGTCAACATCTGAGGAAGATAATAACTCACCCAAATCTTTACCAAATTGTACTAATTGTGAACCTTATAGAACTGTACACAAAGTTCACTCTTCCTCCGGAAGAAATCTTAATTTCTAATTTTATTCAATTTTAGTTTACAAAAATGTTTGTATTAAAACAATTGATTAATTTTATTATTATACAATTTCAATTTCTACTTTGTCATTTTATATTTTGTAATTGCTACATTTTACTATTTTTTATTCAATCTAATTGTGATAAGTATTTTTTAATTTTAAATGTGTATTGTTATTTAATTATATACAATGTTAAAATGAAAATTGTAATTGAAAATACTATTTTGTTTATTAAAAATCAATTTCTACTCGTAATTTTACTAATTCATTTAAAATACTTTTAATTCTAGATTTTACTATTTTACCTTTATTAAATTAATTTATAATTAAATTCATTGTTCTATTTTATATTGATTATTTGTTAAATCTTACTCTGTTTCTTTTACATAACTTAGTTACAACTTACTTTATCTTTATGTAAAATCAAATAGTTAGAAGGTTTTATATTGTTATAAGATAAATTTGCTATGTTTTACTATAAATTTAATTTTCTATTTCTATATTTTGTAACGCCTTCCGACCTCTAACTATTTCTCTATTTCGAAACTTCGCTTTATCTTAATTTAGAAAAAGCTCAGTCAAAAGGGGGGAGCTGTTATATCCCTTTTTACAACGCAGTTAAATCTTAGTAAGCATTTATTCAATCCCACGGTACTTTTCCTATATATGACGTCAATTAGTAATTGCATTGTTCTTTTCCATATTAATTTTATTCCATTTTACAGTCAGTTAGATTCAGAGCCCCGGGTAGATCGGACATAGATTCCGATACGTATTAGAGTTCGGAAGTCAGGGTTAATATTAATTGTGTGTGTAAACTTTTTATAATAAACCCTTAGGTTTACCTTGTGGTTTTTTTAAAAAGTCAAACGGGATTGGCCTCCTAACAGATCCAAGGTCGCCTTCTTATCTTAAGGATAACTTTCATTTTCTTCATTCGATTGACGGTCGAATACCACGACAATCAAACCGTCTGAGGATAAGGTTTCCACAGCATAGGTCTAATTTTTCAGGTCCTCGTTTACGATACAAGCTATACATCTTTGAAACACCCTCCCCGATGATATTAAGAATGCTACAAATAGAAACTCATTTAAATTACTTCTACGACAACATTACCTGAAGGTACTAACTAACTGACATTTTTCTTTCTTCAAATATTTATTTATTTATATATTAATACGGATATTTATAAAGTTTATAAGCATGTATACACATTACATATATGTATGTATGTATTATTGTATGTAAATATATGTTATATATTTTTTAATATAAATACTCTTTATTTATGTTTCGCACCTGCCTACAATTGTCTTTGGCACCCAGGGTTGACTGGCAGAGAATGCCATATGACATTAAGTCCGCCTTATGTACCCTTTACCTTAAGGTGTTACATTTAAGATTTTAAATAAAAATAAATAAATAAATAAAATAAACCGAACGCTCCATTACGTACAATAGTGAGTAAGATCGATTCGCCAACTTACAGATTGGCTCAAAACCTAGCAAAAGTAATATCATCACTTAGATGACACTTGAGATAAAAGACCTATGTCTTACTGACAATGAAAATATGGCCAGTTTTGATGTTCGGTCTCTATTTACATGCCTACCTGTTGAATACTGCATCTCAATTATAACTAGCAAACAAGAGAAAAACAACATGCCAGCAGAATATGCAGTATTACTCAGACATTGCCTTACATCTGGCCATCTATTGTGAAAGGAAGAGTTTTCCAAGCAAGTAGATGGTGTTGCGATGGGCTCACCGGTATCTCCCATTGTCGCCGATATTTTAATGGAGGACTTTGAGGAGAAAGCCCTGCTTACTGCACCAGTAACTCCAAGGTTCTACAAGCGGTACGTAGACGATACTTTCACAATTTTACCATCAGACAAAGTAACTGCATTTTTAGAACATCTTAATTCCATAAAATCTAAAATTCAATTTACTATGGAGTTAGAGGAAAATGATTCTTTAGCTTTCCTAGATGTGTTAGTCATTCAAAATCCTAATAACACCATAGGTCACACTGTGTATAGAAAAAATACCCATACAGACCGATATTTAAACGGGGAATCCCACCATCATCCTTCACAGTTAGCTACCGTGGGCAAATTTTTGTTACAGAGAGCTCGAAGAATCTGTGATAGCAAACACATGACCGCCGAGCTTCAGCAGGTCAAGAAGGTTCTGCACGATAACAAGCTTCGGGTCCCGCGCCTACGTCACAGTGACCGAGTGAAGCCGGCTACAGTCGAGCATGTGCCTGCTATACTACCATATGTCAGAGGTGTCACAGACAAGATTCGCTACATCTTGAAGCGATTAGTCAGTTCTTACCAACCGTCAAGAGCAATATTCCTCTACAAGATGCAGGAGTGTACAAGCTTGATTGTGAGTGTGGTCTCTCGTATATAGGGCAAACAAAACGATAAATAAAAACACGCGTAAAAGAACACATAGCTGACGTGAAGCTCCAACGTTCCGGCAAGTCTGCAGTTTGTGATCATATCCTAGACGGCCTCCGACATTACATTAGATTTGATAAACTACAAATTCTCGCGAAAGAACTTTGTTTTCAATAAATATGAGGTATAATTGATATTATATATAATACTAGCTCGCCAAGCAGACGTTGTTCTGCCCTTTCCGACGTCTTTCCTTCCAAAACTTTAAAAACTTTCCGTCCTTTAATAACCCTTAAATTCGCAATAAAAAATTTTGAGGGGCATTTATCGGGATAAAAACTATCCTATCTCTCAAGTTGGAGCAAACTGCACCTAGTGTGCAAAATTTCATTGAAATCACTTCAGTAGTTTAGGAGCCCATCGCGGACAAACAACGTAACACATAATTTTTATATATGAAGATTAAAAACTATAAGAATAAAAAAAAACTAAAACTAGAAACTTAATTATCATATAGTCCCTCTCCCCGCGGTATCGTGCCAAGAATGCTGGCTGCGTTTCCCCACTGAATGGCTATACTTAACCTTTGAGCGAGAAAAGAACCAGCCCTCTTATCACCAGCAGCAACGACCAGCCGCGGATGGAGTTCTTTTAGGAACTTCACCGCACGTGGACCCCACGGACCGATAGTATCTACATGAAATGGCACAAATATGTAGTCATCTCTTAAATACTCTATTTGTACCACTAACTTAGTTTAGTTGTCATAGCTTCAGCGCAGCTTCAGTCACACTAGGGCTTTACCTCTCTCCCAGGGACCAATGTCATACCGTCGGATCTCCTGCCATCGTCTCTAAATATTCCACAAGACTCTAAAACCGAGGGAACATTTATAGAGACAAGAGCCCTTCGGACGACATCGTTCAAAGAACTGTGTCGTGAAAACCTACCAGAGCTTTTCTTACATGAAAGTCCGTGGAGCCCAAACTTGTCGACGCTGCTACCTCAAGGTCACTGATGGGGTTGATAAAGCACCATTCCTAGTTGAATTCCTACGGCGATGCACAAGCTTTCCCCATCAAGTAATGTGCTGAGATTACTTGATGGTAAAGCGTGTAACTAGGTGACTAGATTCCTTAGTCGAAACAGCTAGAAGACGTGCCTTATCTTGGTCACTATGGAAATTATGAAACAAATCTTTCTGCACGCCCCGTACCAACGGAATATCCCACTGTTTTTGTTGGTTAACTTCCAGTGGAACATTTTCACTGGGACAGAGCGTTTGCCATGTCTGCCCTACCTCCGTAGCAAAGCATAGGTCTACTTTATTATTTAAAATTATGTTACATAAGTCACTGACACTATGCACGGAAGCAAGGAAAGCAGGCAATACAACGCTAGAAAGATTTCTCACACCAATGCCACCAAATTTTATAGGTAAAGTAGCTTGAGTCCAGGCTATTGTATTTAAAGTTAAATTTAGAATTGTTTCTATAGCTATTTTAAGATTATTATCAATATCTTTTAAAATATCCGAACATTTCCAGACTGGACTCGAGCGGAGTATGTATGTAAATTTAGGTACAAGGAGACAATATTTTAAAATAGTAAGAGCTATGTGGGGGTTTAATTTATACAATTTATCAACGTGGTTTAAAAACTGATCAAATTTTGTTTTTAAAACAGGTTTCATACTATCGAAAAGCAACGGGGCACCTAGCAGGTATAGTGATTCCGTACTGACAGTTTTTATTCCTGGAGAAACATGATTGAAATTTTGAATTAAAGTGTCTCTATGTGAAATAGATAAGTTATTGAAAAAAATATTTAACATTTTTTTCTATTTGGTTCAAGACCAATATCTTTTAAAATTTCGAAAAATATGAGTAAGATCACTGAGAACGTCATCTGCTCTACCTCCTAGTGTACCGTCGTCCAGGTACCAGATATACAGCTTGAATTTCAAGTTTGAAATAATGGGTTGAATTCCCAAACTGAAAAGTGCTGGACCTAGTGGGTCACCCTGCTGAACACCGACAGCAGAATCGATAACATATAACAAGTTAGTATTTTGACTATAACATTGCCAAAAGTAATGATAAATTTCGGGAGTATTGTTAGCCACTTCTTTCAGCAAGGTTACCATAGGGTAACCTTGCTGAAAGAAGTGGCTAACAATCGATAGCGATATGGTTAAAAGCATTCCTTAGGTCAACCTTCACAAAAACATCTTTTTTTTATAGGATAGGGTGACAAACGAGCACACAGTCCACCTGATGGTAAGTGGTTGCTGTGGCCCATAGACATCTACATCTATCCTCGTTTGCGAATCAAAATACAGATGCGTTGTCAGCCGTGAGGACTAAGATGGAATGCCTCTTTTCCAATAAAAAGACATCACATCTGCATCAGAGTTTGTTAAAGATGTACGCACTGAATGTACCGCCGCCTCACAGCCACCTCTAGTGCCAAAGCCTAGTTGAGTAGGCTGAAATGTGGTATTAAGGTTAGAGATTATGTGCCTGCAAGAATAAAACCAATGCACTTCTGCTGCAGACCCCCGGTATAGTACCACCATGGAGGACGGAATTAAAGAGCTTCTGAAAACTTCAAGTACCGGTTTTCCACCCGCTTCCAGAAGCTCCGGTGTAATTCCATCCTCACATGGGGCTTTACCGTTTTTAAGGTGCTGGAGAGCTATTGTAATCTTCCTCAGACTAACGTCCGGAATATCATCGGTATAGTTTCGGATAAAACTTGCTCTTGGATCGTTACTCACATTTGCATGTAGCTCCAACGATGATGTAATGCTATATCCTCTAGATAGGACCTCTCAATCTCACTCAAAATCTCAGATAACCCGGAAAAGATGCTACCACACTCAGTTTTCAGCTTCGAAAGTTGACTCCTTCTGGCAGACAGATCTCTAGCAATGACTTCGTGGCCCTGGGTCCGCTTGATCGCTTCTTCAATATGATCAGTATTAAACTTGTGTAAGTCCCGCCGCATGCTATCGGAGATCTATCTGTTCAGTTGCCTGTATGCTGTCAAATCTGCTAAAGACTGCAGCTTCATTTCCCGTCTAATAGACATAAGATTAAGAGTGTGTTTGGAGAGGTTTTGTGTTCTTCTGCAGCCGGTCTTGCAAAAGTTAGCTCCGACCTCAGGGACAGTTTCCACGAGCTGGTAAGTCAGATCGTCCACTGCATTGCAATCTTCCCTAGAAGATATAGATAGATAGGCACTGAAAACGTTTTTGTAGCTCAAGCTGAAAGGTTTCGGTACTTCGGACTAGAGCACGAGGGGGACGGAGCGTTGACTTCATCAGATGTGACTTCTCCAACTTAACTTTTAGGTTTAGTGTGCCTGTCACCATCGGTAATCACTGTCGGTTTTAACCCTCTGGATTACTGATACATCATTGAACAG